GGCCTTCATTTGATACAGGAACTATTCGAGCCATTCATGCCAGACTGGGGAGAGAGGTGTTGTAATAATGTAAATGTGATATGAGAGCCTGTTCTAGTACATCCCCAAAACAAAATCAAGACTTTGTAAAAGAGCATAATAGGACCCCTTTAACACTAACACTCCTGAATTATTTTGTTATCATTAAAACATAGTTCAATGCAAAATAATTATGTAAAATGATGTAACATTATTAAATATATAAATTGTTATTACTATATTTATAAATATTTAATTAAATCAATAATTAAAATATTTTCTTTATTGTACATTTTTCTAAATCCTTATTTGCAGGTATTAAATCACGTTTTGAATGTGCTCCTCCCCTGTACAGTATGTCCTGATGGCTATTTGTTGCTTACTACAGCATTTTGCTTTCAGAACTTTGCTTTCAAAACTCGTTGAATCTCTCCTAGGTAGGCTGAGGTGTCAGAGTTAGTTTGAGTTCCTCACACTGTACATCCAGCTTGAGCTTTGTGCGGTTCTTCCCCTCAGCGTTGGAACACTCTATGATGTAATTGCCCCCGTCTCGCCGAGAAACGTTGACCATTTCCAGGGTCCAGTCGTCGAAGTGATAACGGGGATCTCTTTCTGTCACAAACATACAGAGACGTGACCCAACCCACACAGAACAGGTGAATCACAGAGCTGTGACAATACAAATCCACAAAACCAAACAAAATGTGAACTGCAGCACATATATACACACAGACTGAAACAGCTGGCTTTTCTGCTAAAACCCTTCTCCCAGAGAAACCTCTTTGGAGGAATACCGCAGGGACCTCGACACAAGACTGCTGGGAAGCTTTCAACATGAAGATGAAGACCGGAAGCGCTGTGTCGCATTCAGAGCGACAGCAACGCTCATTTAGGCTGCATACATTAGCACGAGATCACATCTGCCAAGCTGCAGTGCCAGAACCCATCGATGTTTTATTCAGAATGCATATGGCAATGTGTGTTTACGTCTGTTTGAGTGTTTAGAGCTCCTGTGAGGGTGACAAGGCTCGTAATGTCATGTAGTGCTGTCTGCTACCTTTCACGAGCTTCTCGCCCTGAAAAATCCACTCGCAGGTGATTTCGTCCGGATTGGCCGAGACTTTGACAGGAAGCGCGGCGGTTTCATCCTCAATGACCTGGACCTGATCGGGCTGCTCATCCGAAAACTCCGGAGGAACTGAATTTCACACAGTGACACACACAGATACATCACATTCAAGGTGCTAATATGTAAGCAAACATATTTTTAAACTTGACAATGAACACAACAGTCACACAAAACAAACTGCTTGTTACACCATACTGTATGTAAGCAACATATCTAACAAATAAATACATAATGCATTAGCAACTCTAATTAAAGGCTAACGCTTACTCCGCACTGACATTAACACCCAATGAATTACAGAGATGCAAACATTTACATTTCATTTTATAATTTATTCATAAATTCAACTAAAATCTTTTCAATATTTTAATATTGAATCATTTTCCTTGGCAAACATTCTTATATATTTAAAATATTAAATAACATATTTTACATGCATACATACATATACATACATATTACATATACATATGGTCACACTTTATTTTAAGGTCCAATTCTCGCTATGAACAAACCATTAACTATGACTTTTACCTCAATAAACTCCTAATTTGCTGGTTATTAATAGTTAGTAAGGTAGTTAAGTTTATGTATTGGGTAGGATTAGAGATATAGAACATGGTCATGCAGAATATGTGCTTTATAAGTAGGCCACTAATAAACAGCCAATATGTTAATTCTAGGCATGCTAATAAGCAACTAGTTAAGATTTGGTCCCTATACTAAAGTGTTACCATATATTCAGTTGAAGTCAAAAGTTTACAGACACCTTGCAGAATCTGCAAAATGTTAATTATTTTACCAAAATAAGAGGGATCATACAAAATGTATGTTATTGTTTTTTTAGTACTGACCTGAATAAGATATTTCACATCAAAGTTGTTTAAATAATAGTTGAATTTATAAAAACGAGGGGGGGGGGGACTTTTGAACAGAATGCAGATGTGCACATTTTTCTTATTTTGCCTAAATATCATATTTTTGCATTTAGTACTGCCCTTCAGAAGCTACAGAAGTTGTTTCCCAGAATACAAGTTACGTTACATTTACCCTGATCTTCAAATTCAAAA